AAGCATTCTCTTCTGAAGGGGAGCAGGAACCCAGAGGAATCTGGACTGTTTTGAGAATTAGGGAAAAGGTATGCAATCCTTTTCCCTCTAGGTTTCAGTGCCTTCCTGATTGGTTTGGCTACTACTTAATACAGTGGAGTTGCCAGTTTGCACCATTATAGGGAGCTGCAATATGCTGGAATGTCTTCCAGTGCTCTAAAGGTTAAGCCTGATGCTTGGAGGAATGTAGATGGGACCAGGCTGCAATGACTTGAGGAAGGGATGTTTTTTGTTTAGCAAGAAATAGGGTATCTTCAGTTCCTGCCTGTAGCTGTTGTTTTCACCAGAAATAGGGCATCAAGTCTTTGGAAGGTAGCTGCCCTTGCTACCTGTCCTGTATGCTACCTATCTGACCTGGAGGCAGAACACATCTGGTACCCCTGTCCATCTTTTCACTTCTAAAGCCTTGGTTTTATGGTTTATGTCTGCCTCCATTTCTCAACTTCCATCTCTCCTCTGAATGCACTTCAGTTTGATTGTAAACTGCGTCATCACACTGAACTGAGCTTTCCAATGACCTTTTATCTGGCCAAACATAAAAACTTAGTTTTCTGTCCTTGATCATTCTCTCCACCTTGGTATTCTCCTCTTCTTTAGTTCTCCCCACTCATTCCTAACTGCTTTTGCTGATCCACTTTTCTCCCTCCAACTTCCTTTACAACACAGATGGGAAATGTGTGGTAGTGCTGAGCTGCAGTGCCCATCAGGCACCATAGTTGGCTATACTGGCTAGGGCTAAAAAGAGGTGTGGGGACTACATGTCAGTCAAGTTTCAGTGTTTCTGCTACTGCTTGCCTTCTTGAAAGAAACTAGCTTGGTGCTAGAGCAGCTGTTTTGCATGCAGAAGGTTCCAAGTTCATTTCCCAACATCCCCAGGTACAGCTTGGGAAAAAAAATGCCTGAAACCCAGAAGAACAGCTGCCAGTCAGCTTTGACCTTATGTCTGACTCAGTATAAGGGAGCCACCCATGTTCTCTCATTCTGCAGTCTTACCTGTGTACAATTACACTCGTGGCTTTCCTTTTCCCTTGTTTATGCTGATAACTCCTGGTTCTGTTTTCCTTGGGGCCGAAGTCAGAATTCATAATTAACCATTTTTTGCCACAGATGTTGAAATTTAATCACTTGGAATATTACCCTCCTTACAGACTTGCTGAAAGCCTGCAATATTTCATTGAACCCACGGTAGAAATTTAACATGTATTATGCTACTGAAGGTCTCATTTCATATGCTTGGAATACAAACACACACACCTTGTTTCCACCAATCCGTTTTCACTGAATTCCATTAATCACAGCTGTCTGCCAGTTCCACTGTTGCAAGTACTGCAAACCTCTGAAGCACAGTTTATAATCTCTCAATCCTTATCTCTCCCTTTTCATCTTATTCCTATTTCCACTTTCTCCTTGGTATGTAAACTTGGGGTCATACTCCTTACAGTTCCTTTCCCTACACTTAACCTGTTGCCAAATGCAGTGTGTGCGCTCGCGCGCACACGCGCGCGCGCGCTCTCTCTCTCTCTCTCTCTCTCTCTCTCTCTCTCTCTCCCTCTCTCTCTCTCCAGTTCCAAGTGCTGTTCTATCACTGCTGCCTCTCCTTTTAAAACCCTTGTCCATACCATGGTTCTCCCATTTCCTGACTTTTGCAAGCTTCTGATTGATGCCTTGGAATTCTGTTTCTCCACAGCTAATTCAGAACATCTATGATAAAATAAACTCTGACTTTTTCAACTTTGCATGGTATCACTTTTTTCTTTAAAAGTGTCTGCACGCGCAGAGAGTTTTTTCTGCTTTCCATTTTAATGTCAATCTCCTCATCCTTACATCCTTTAGAAGTCCCATCACCTTATGTTTTAGATCTGTATGGTCCAGTCCCGGTCTTGTCCCTCCATTCTTATTATTTTTAAGGCCCTTGTTTGCAATGCTCTCATCTGTTGTTACTCCACACATTGTTCACTACAGCTGCACACTTTCTGATGTTCTGTTCTTTGTACTTATAACCATCCCTCTGACTTTTGTCTTCCATTTCTTCCAGCCGTTACCAGTTCCTCTTGTAAATCCTTCCTCTGGATTCTCAAAATATTCTTGGCCTTGCTTATTCTGTGGCTTCTAGTACTGTTTAATTCTCCCTTCTGCACATCCTTGCTGTCGCTTCATCAAACTTAGAATGCTCTCTTCACCTGTGTGCTTTGATTTATCCTTTGCCCACCGAGTAGAAACTTACGCACTTCTGTACAAAAAAGTAGATATAATATCTCAAAATATGCTTTAAGTGTATTGTGATTATTGACGCTATCCAGAAACCTTTTTGTAAGAGTTGCATTGATATATTCTGTCCTTAGAGAACGTATAACACAAGATGCACATTCTAGGTCTAATGTTGACCTCCACTTGGCCACAGTTGCATAATTTAGTGTGCATATAGACTGAGTGGGCTCTGCTCAGTATTGGTAAATGTGACCCAAGTTCCTCGATGGTTAGGAATGTGCAGGAATACAGTTTCAGTTGTCATGCAAAGATGTCTTGCTTGCAGTCCCTAATGTGAATGCATATAGGAGTGCTTTTTTCAAGAAATGTTCAAAAAATCCCAAATCTGTGTTAGCACTGGGATTTTTAAAAAATGTACTCTTTGAAATGCACATTTTAAAACACGGACACATTTTCACAGTTTAGTCAATGGTTGAAGTGGGCCCTTTTGAAAAATGCACACAGAAATGCATACTTTTCCTATTTGAAATTTTTATTTTATTTATTTATTTATTAAAACATTTTTATGCCGCCTCATTCGCCAAAGCCTCGGGGCGGCTTACAACAGTAAATTACAACAATAAATAATTTGCACTTTCCCCATTCAAGCCAGCTGGGAAATGGGTTAATTTTTGGAGAATTTCGACAAGCTTGAAAATGCCTTGTTCTTTCATCCCTAAATATGTACCTTAAATGCTGGAAGGTTTTTGCAAAGTGAAAAGGGGGACAGTATTTGACTCAGTGAGCCACTCAGAGACATTCCAAGTTCTGACTACACTGCTGAAATAGATCCAGGCTAATCACTGCTTGTCATGCCTATGCGAGCATTTGTGTAATTAGCCGTGAAGAAGCATAAATGCCTTAAAAGTGCGTGTCTTACCTATGTGTGTGTCATTGGCCACATTGGATAGGTTTGGCTGTTGGTTTGCACATATACAAATAGTGAGCTGGGAAATGTATCAATGAAAGTTCTTGGCTAACATGGCAATATATTTATCCCTTCTCTTCACATTTTTGTTAACAAAGAATGCACCTTTATGTAATCAGTAATAAGGAAATATAACATACTGTTCAGCTAACTCTCTGCAATGGAAAAAGTAAAGATCTGTGAATAAATTGGTCACAAGATCTGGATCAGTCTACACAGTTGTTATCTGGAAGTATCTTGGAGAACAAAATGCTTTGCAAAATGTTATGTACTGTGTTTCTGGAATTCTGTTCGGGGCTTTTATACTTTTATGTAAACTGCCTTGGAGGACTATTTCCCCTGGAAGGTGGCCTGAAAATATTTCAGAGAAATAACTTGTAGGCATACTTTCGCTTGTTCAAGAGGAGCACAGTGGTTTAATATTGGAGGCTACCAACTCAGACCTGAGGAGCACTGGGGAGGTCTGCAGTGAGCTGCTTCTCAGAGAATTACCCTAATTACAACACAAGTGGGAAGTTCAGTGTTATCCTGAAGTGACTCTCCATTAACTCATTTGTACTTGGCTTCATTACACTTCAGAATCCATCTCCTCCCATCTGTTTCAGTCTCATCTTGCACATTTCTGTTTACTTGACCTTGCCATTCAGCAGTGATAGCAGTTGCTATCAGCTACTGGAAGGTATGTTCAGAATCACAGTTTCAAAGTGGCTCTGACTTCATTGGCCTATAAGGAGCTTTGCAAGGAATTCGTGTGGTGGTTGGGGAAGAGCCGACTGGAAAGGTTCAGCAACTGAGTCCTTAACTTTGGAGTTGAGAGTTAAAGAGAAGATGCTGATTTGCCTTTATGTAGGCACCCTAACTTAGACTCATCTGTTGAAAGTGTACTGTGGGAAACCCAGGCTGAGGTAGGCATTTAGCAACCATAATATCACTGTCCTGCTTCTTTGATACTGATGGTGCTACATAAATAAGTAAGTAATAGCCATACACAGAGTTAATAATTCAGGAAAAATGGTGAATTCTTTCTTGCGGAATTCCTATTTTTGTGTCTTTCCATGGTTGTGGCCAGGTCATTTTCTTGTTTATATCTGGGGTACCTTTGCTCACTTCAGTGGAGTTGCTTCATATTTTAGTCTCATATTTATATGATGATGGTACAATCTCACTGGCTTGAATTTTGATGGGACCAGATTTCGGAACAGAGCCAGGTTCCCCGAAAGCCTCCTCTGTGTTTGTGGTGACACTAATGATCCTTTTCTGGGGAACAGAAAGATTTTTGTTTTGGCTTCTCTTAGCTGAGCAAGAGCTGCTGGATGAAGAGAAGAGTCTTATTAGCAGAACAGCAAAATGGCCCTCAAATGAAATGCCTGTGAATAAAATCAAAGGGCTCAGTGTGAGAAAACACAAGCCAGGCACCAGGTGTGCGAGGATACCAGCTAAAATGGGCCCAGGCTCTTTGGGGAAGGAGTAGCCTGGGGCAGTAGGTGTGGGATGCTTTCTGGTACTTTGGGGAGTGGCCAGCAGTTGGTTGTGGCTTTGGTGCAAAGAGAATTGGACTGTAGGGAGGTCACGTTGACTTCTGTCTCGGAAAGATTTGTATTGAAAAATGCACATCTTATTGTAAATGTCTGCCAACTGGGGATGCTACAGACAGTGGGGTTGCCAGTGGTGCTGTTACTTGTCTCCCCCCCCCCAAGATTTGAAAGATAGTTAGCATTTTTCACCTTATCAATTTTGCTAGATGCTTGTTTGACCTTTTCCTCTATTTTTCTCAATTGCTCTTCAGCACTTTACCTGACTCTCCCCCGGACTCTGGATCAGAGGCATACTCCCCCCAGCAGGTGAATGGTAAGTGCTAAGATTAAAACCCAAGCACACCAGCCTCCCCCCCTTTGGTTGGCGAAAGTGGTTGGCTCTGAAATCTTTATCGGACAGGGGAAAAACAGACTGCTGCAATACGTGAAGAGATTATCAGTTAGTAAATATTCCTAGACTTTCGCCTATTGTTTTTCTGCTACCCTTTGGAAAGAGGGGGTGGGTGGGCAGGAACGAGAACACAAGAGGTGTGTGAGGAGGAAGAGAGAGAGAGGTGTAAATGTAAATGTACTTTCTGGGAGAGGAAAGTGGAAACGGGTGACATATGCCTACTGAGGACATGAATGGAACATTCGAACCTTATTTTGTGGATGGCTGTGCTGTCAGACTCTTGGAGAATTCAGTAAAAACAGCCCTATGCCAGAAATGAAGACCAACACATGAATACTGCTATGAGCTTGCTGTTGGGTGGTAAGTTTGCCTGGAGCTCCTGCCGTCTTTTTTCAGGCTTCATTTGATGCACAGGGGCTCTCCTCCATTTCCTGTGACAGCATGAGAAATTTTGGATAGCTCACAGTGGCTGGGTCTCCCTCCCCATTGCCCATAGGACAAATGTAGTCCTGTTTTGACCCTCTCCGTACTTTATAGCTGTGGAGAGAAGAGGGAGGGAACTGTATGGATCTGATCATACCCCACTGCCTGTGCTTGCGGTCTCATAATAAGGGAGATTTTGTTGGGAGATTTAGGAGTTTAATACACAAGAGCTTTATGAGCAGGGCTTGAAGAATTGGGTGGAGTATGTGTCAGAGTGCTGATGGGAATTTTCAGATGTTTCCCCACTGGCCCCTTCCTTAAAAACCTAAACACTTTTCATAGTGGAAGCGGCTACCTCTTCTTTCTTGGTGGAAGAGGTCAAGAGTTCTGTTTATCTCACTACAAAAATCCCTGGAATTCCTCCTGGCCCTGCTTTAAATATAGCAAAGAGGCCAGATTGCTTGCCAGAGAATGAACTGCTTTCCCTCACCACCAGAGCAGCAGCACCAAACCAGCAGAGAAAAAAAAGCGTACAGGATTTCGTTCTGTTCTCTTCATCTCAGGGAGGGGAAGGACTAGAATCCAAGCTTTGTGGGTTTGAGTGGAGTGCATATTTAAGAATATCTTCCCTCTCTCCTCCAGAGTCTTAAAGAATTTTCCCCTTATTTTGAGGGAAGAAAGCTAGGCAGCCCTTAACAAGTGGAAGATGAGAAATGGCTTTCAAGAGTACATTTACCATACATTGCCTACTTTGCAGTAGCAGTTATCCCATTCACTTTCTAAACTGAAATGTCAGACTTTTGCTGTTGATTCCTGTAATTCCACAAAGGCTGAAGCTTTTCCAAAATTACAATTATTTTAAAAGATTAATCTGGAGTACAGTGTTCTCTAATCAGTGCAGAACATCACCACCCATTTATTTATTTATTTATTAAAACATTTTTATGCCGCCCCATTCGCCGAAGCCTCGGGGCGGCTTACAACATAGTTGCAGTTGTATATTCTATAAGATATATTACATTTCATGTTGCATATTTTAAAGTTTGTCCTCTGAACTTCCTGCCTGTTGGTGTTCTTGAATAACACTCCTACATTTTAGGAGAGTGCATATGTGTGTTCACAGACTGGGATTTCACCATTCTGAATGGTATCTGTAAACTTGGCTGTTGCACTTTTGTCAACCCTGACTCCAGAGCAATTGCCTCTGCTTGGGTCAAGCGATTGATCTAAATGATCAAACTATCACCTACATGTAACAAAAGGTGCCTCCCTCAATTCTGATCCTAGCCAACAAAATATAATGCAGTGTGGTAGGTACACAGAATGAGTGACTGAAAAACTGTTTTCAAGGCAGCACGAAATAGCCAGATCATTGAAAGACTCTAGTTCACCTACATTTGCAAATGTAATCAAGTTTTCTAATACTTTATTTATTCCAATCCCTGTATACCACTTAATGTATTAAAATCCCCAAATGATTCACAATAAAATACAATTTAGCAATACATGACCAAGAAAAGCACATTAATATTAATATAAACATAATATATATAATTAATATATTATAAACATTAATACCATTGTAGCACCATAAACAGTAAAACAGGGTAGCAGCAGAGTCCTTCAGAATGTGCTTTCAAGATGTGTATGATTTCCTAATTTAGCCAAGTATAGTTAGTCTAAAAATACTCTAATGTTATTTTAACAAATAAGTTTCTATTATAAAGTATGACACAGTTTGGATCTAGGATTTCTAGAACTGCTTATTGCCAGTACCCCATAGGAGTTCAGAAGGCAAGGGTTGGAAACGAGACCTTTTCTGTATGCAGAACTCCTGCAAAGTCATTTAATTCTCAACTTTCTTCTCTCAAACACTGATAACATTCATTTTGTTGTACAAGAAAAATCTTGTTACACTTCAAAGGTACTTATATATACCTCTTCTCAAGGGAAAAGGAGGCTAAAGGTATATGTATGTGAAACTATAGAAGAGGGAGGGAAGAGAGACAGGGAGAGATAAGGTGATCTTGGAAGCAAAGGAGAAAGAAAATTATTAACAGCTTCTATACATGGTCTTGGAAAAATCATGGAACAGTCCTGTATTCCTTTTCCTCTCAAGCTTAAGGCCCTTGGTGCTTCTTGACATTGTTGCTAAGAGAGGTGGTAACAGGAAAATAGACCCCAAAACAGAACTGGGACAGGTGGAACTGAGAGGAGAGTTGAGATGCTGTTAATTTTTTTTAGCTGCAAGAGGTGCCTTCTCCACTGCTGATCCCACTGGTCTTCATGGAATTGCAGTGATTGAAACATGCTCATACATATGCATGTGGTTTGTGGAGGACTGGCTCTCTGACTCAATGTGCTGGTCACCTCTCATAACATTTATACACCTGGAAAATACCAGTATCTGTGCACAGCTTTGTCTTGTTTTTCCACACCTTTTCCCTTCGAAAGATGCACTTTGAGAGCGTTCTTTATGATCCTGGTGTTATTTGGGACGTCTAGGTGCTAGAAAGGAAAGTGAATAAAAATGTTTCCCTGAACTGTAGGGCTTTCAGAGTCCTTTGTATGCACTGCTACCTTAAAATCAGGCATCAAAGTTAAGTAAACTTCTGTTTTGCTGTGTCAAGAAAGGATGTGAACTTGAGTCAAGGGCTTTTGTAAATGCCTGACAGCCTGTTCCCAGGAAGGTAGAATCTTTGCATGTGCTTTGGGTTTCCATGTCTCATGCCCCCTCGCAGTCTTCTGCATCGAGTCAGCAAAAGCCTACAAAAGTGGGTTTTCTGTGGTCTTGCCTTTAGCCTCCTAATTTTTTATGCAATCAAAACTGATAGTTGAATTTTTTTGGCAAATCTTTGGGGTTTTTTCAGTTCAAAGGCAACTCATTTTACAAACTTCAAGCACATAAAAAACCAGGGAGATTGACTAGAAATAACTCCCCATTCCAGTTGAATTCTATAGCTTCCTCCTGTCTTTGTTTAGAAAGGTAGTGGTGACTTTTTTGTCCTTGGAGTCAGAAGGGCAAAAAAGATCAGAACTGCTGTTTCAGCAGACAAATCTAAAACTTGGAAATATATAAACGTACCTTCCTACCATAACCGCTTTTGGTATTCTATTGTAGCCAAGGCCTGTTCCACACCCTCACCCCCCCTTTGGTTCGACACATGAACTAAGCTCTAAATTTAGTACTGCTTTCTATTTTGGGGTGGTGGTGTTTGCTTAATTAAGAAATTCAGCTGCTTGACTTGTTGATTCAGTAAAATCAGAATTCAGTACTATTTAAAAACAAAAAGCAATCTTAAGTTTTCATAGACTTAAAAGCATTGCTCTTGATCTTTCCAGAATATACTGTTTTCCATTCATTTCTGATTGTGATTTTCCTTCTGAATCGAAGGGATTAGTATGAAGTAGAAAAACAGAAAGTGAAGAATGGTGAAAATATTTTGTCCTTGCGTTGGTTAGACAGGAATCTTTTTTGATATAATTAAACCTGATTTCTTCTCAGAACCAGATATGGATGAATATGAAATTTCCCATATTTCAGATCTTAAATTAATTTTGTCCATTTTCCTCATCAGTTTACATTTATGTTTACACAAAAATGAATATGCATATTTGTGGACATTTCTCTGACCACAGTGTTTTAATAAAATTGCCTCATATATGCATTTTGCAAGCAGATTTTTCCTAATATAATATTATGTACAGTATTTTCTTATGTGCATTGTAGCAGTCACTCTTAACGCATTCTTGTATGCATTGGTGTAATTGGAGGTCAGGTTCATGACATTCACAGGATCATACGGAGTGTATTCCTGCAATGTGACAAACATGCTGGCCTCAGTGGAGCAAATTGCCTGCAGATAAAGGAAGTCCTATCTTCTTCCTGCTGCTGGGCAAAAAAAATAGAGAAGCTTTCTAGTGTTCCTATCAGGAGGATCCTGAACGGGGGATAGTTTAAAGGATTTGGGAGCTGCTGTTCTTTGCATAGATGGTATGCTGAATAAGCTTGGTGAGACCTTTGAGAGTTTGCCAGCTACTGATGAAGGATGCCTTTGCTTGACATCTTCCTAATGCAGCACCACTGTATCAGCGAATCCTGAAGCATGGGCACACTTCTCAGCAAGGGAAGGAAAAGCACTTGAGGAGCTAATATTTTGGGGGTGTGGGGGATGACAAACTTTCCAATAGGACTCTTGGGCCGGATATAAGCTTGAAATGAAAGGGAGATGCTTCCTGCTTTTATGTAGACATCCCATCCTGTTGGATGTGTGGCTTACAATTACAAAAATAGTATTTTAATATTTTTTTAAAAAATCCATCCTCAGATTGAGAGTATGAACAAAATACTGATCAGAATAGAAAGAGTACTTCTACTTAAGGGGTAGAAGTAGCCTGGTGTGGAGGAGGTAGATAGCAAACAATGGAGCAGAGTAGTGTCTGCCTGTTTTAGCCTACAACTCTGCTCATATAGACTGGCTCTAGATGACCCATGGTAAAGAAAATGAAAATTGAAAGAAAGGGGGCTGGGATCCATGCATCCACACACACATGGCCCTGTTTTATCTTGATTCAGTGGACAGATGGGATATGTGGACTATTAAAGAAGAAAGGAAAGCTTTTGTGTGGAATTGGCTGTATGTCTGATCCTAATGAATCTGTTATCCTTTTGTTGTCTTAGATCCTCACCTCCTCCGAACCATGACTCCTGAGAATATGTGTCATATGACTCCCCCCTCCCGGTTGGAACATCCCCCCCCCCCACCGCCCCCACCCCCCCCTCCCCCACCCCACCTCCAGGGGCCGCCACCGCCACCACTGCCACCTCACGCACACCAGCAGCAACACAACCATCACTATCCCAGCATGCAGCGGGACATGTACATGAAGGCTGAGCCTCTGATGCCACAGTTCACTATTGGACAGGGCATGTCACCTGGGGATCTCCACCACGCCCAGCAGTCACAGATGCTTCACCAGCTACTGCAGCAGCATGGAGCAGAGTAAGTCCTTGGGGCAAGACGGACAAGATGAAGAGGCATGCAAGGGCTGCTTGAAGGCTTGGCTATCCTTTTGGTCGCTTTGGTCCTCTTGTGCTGGGATAATGGATGTAATTTTGAGTCATGCCGTGCAGAAGTGGTGATTGCATGCTGCATCTGTGGAGGAGGCTGAAGGCTAATCGGGCTGGGCCAACTAGCAGGGCAGGCCTCTGATATGTTGTGGAAAGGCAGTTGCAGTTGCAGAGCACAGGCATGTGAGAAGTGGGTTTTGTTGTGTTGCAGTTCTGAAAATAAGGCTCTTTGAGGACTAACACAAAGGGCAAAGCTATGCTATAAACATATATCTGTTCACTGCCATGGCTTCCCCCAAAGAATCATGCAGATGGAGTCACTGAGGGAGCTGAGAATTCTAGTAAGAGACCACTGGTCCCTTACACAGAAGAGTTTCCCAGGTTGCCAGGAGTAGTATTTATTTTATTGTATTTATTTAAAACTTGTATATGCTGTCCCCCATGCAAGGCATCTCAGGACGGCTCACAAACAATATTCCACACATCTGTGCTATAGACATGGACTGAGACTTCCAGATGGTTTTTCTGAGTTCTCCAAACCTTAGGAAATGCTCCTCAACACTTTCTCCTGTGTGTCTTCCTTGCATTCACTTCATCAGGGCATAATCGCTCTAATCGAACGGTTCTTCTTAGGCCACTGTGACCCCTGCTTCTCTCTCACCGATCTCAGATTATGCCACTACCTGTTTTTTGCTGGAAGTACGTCCCCAGGCGCCTATCCTAGCCCACTGCAGTTTAATATCACTGAAACTACACAAAATTTGACAGATAGCTTATGATGAAATGGGCAAGAAAGTAAGGTCAGAAGATAGGACAGCAATGATTATGTCATTCAAGAAGAGCACAATTTCTTGCCAAAAAGTAAAACATCAAAATAGTATCATTTTTCTTTCCTATTGTACTCCTCTTCCAGAAATTCTGCTTTGGTGGTGTCCCATGTGACTCCTTTTATTAGTTTCCCCCCAAAACAAGAAATCTAACCTTAACTAGTTTGCCAGTGTATTTCTCTTGCTTGGATTATCACAGAGAAAAACAAAAGGTCACCTAATTAGCCTCCCATTGCATGTCAGGACCCTGCAGGAGCTGCTTCTTTCTCTCCTCCAAATCAAATGAGTTGGATTACACAGTCTAGATGCCATTGTGCTACAACTGGGTGCAGTGTATAGCAGAACACCCACACAAATACTTCTATACGATGGGATGCCTTTTCAGATTTTATTGTGGGAGGCCATGTTTGTAGCAACAAGAGATGGGGAGCTTCTGTTCTGTCAAGAGGGGTGTGTTAGCAATAAAGCACATCAGAGCTGGCAGCAGGTGAAGTTTGCAATATGGCAAGATTATGCCGCTCTCTATGATTCTCTCTGTGCCACCCCGTCTCTGCCAGTGGTCTGAAATGTAGTTGTGGGCTTCTGATTCTCCACTTTTGATGTAAAAGCTGGCTCTTAGCTATCTTCAAGATTAAATTGCAAAACGGAAAAAGGGGTAATTATAACAGTATATTTGTTTTCATGTTAATAACTCATAATAACTCTAGCAATAATAGTAAGGCACTTATTTTAAACCAAGGGAATTTGTACTTTGGCATTCAAAGGCCCATTTAATTATTTGTATAATGTTAGTTATTCATGGCTGGTCTACAGTGCACAAAAATTCATGTAACAAAACCTTGATGCCTTTGCCCCTTCCATATGTTTTTCTCCTGAACATATTGTTTCAAGAGGACATTGTGGGGGTAGGTGGGAATGTTGGGGCCACTGAATATGTTTGCCATCTGTTCACAATCAAACATGCACCTCAACCAGCAGAAAATATATGGGGAAGGAGATAAATTCTTTTCCCCAGATAGGTCTCTGTAGAAATAACAGTTTCTGGAAAACTGGTGCACTTCAACTTGTAGCCGGGGCTTTATGGGATTGAGTAGTCTTCTGCCTGGGGAAAAAATGCTCTCTGTACATTGCAAGCTAGTATGTTCTAAACTCAACTGGCTTCATTCTGTTCAAACCTGGGACTTACCCCTAGCCCAAAGAAGCGTTATGTGATTCACTCCTTATTCAGTTCATGTGTGATAGGACTGCTGTTGGTGAGATGCACTAGGTCAGATTGCAACCCAGTTTGGGGCCTAACAGGAATGTATGAATCTGTCCCCTTTTACAACAATATTCTCATTTTTCAAAGCATGAGTTTGTTCAGCTCCTTTTCTGCATCAGTTTATGACTTTTAAAACTAAGTCTGCACAGACATTGTACACTTTTTGTATATGTTTTTGTAGGCATGAAAATTTTGTATGTATTTCCCCCAATGCAGGCCTGTTTGTGTGCTATTTTCTGTAATGTGCACATTTTATATGCAATTTATCTTAACTATACCATTTATTTGATTAGAGAACTGCATTGCAAAAATTTGGAGAAGTGCAAACAGAAAAGATAGCTGCATTCCAGTTTGTGCATTCATTCAAGAAATGCAAATTAAGTTGGTTCATAGGCTTTAACCTGTTCAACTGTGAACTGAAGGTATTTCTACTGGTTCCCTAGGTCTTGCTAACCATCTGAGGACCAATATTCTAGTTGAGCTTTTCTAGTTGAGCTGTACTAATTTTCTGTGGGCAGAGATTTATTTATTGCATGGAGAATTCAATCATATGAGTCCCCACCTTCCGTCTAAATTAATACATCCTGGACACAACTATACTATTATAGGGTCCTGAGAAAAAGCAAATGAAGCAGTTGTCACCTTTTATCCCCACAGCATGTCAAGAGAGAGGGAGGAAATGTCTGTGCTAGGTGGAAATCAACATCTCATTTTTGCACCAGTTTCAACAGTCAACTTGTGTTTGACTCTGCATGTCCATGGAAGTATAAAAGAGCTTGTTGATGCCATCATGTGTCCATGCAAATACTTTGGCTGTTCTTTCTTGCATTCATAGACAAAGTTAAGCTGGAGTATTCTCTTGCCAGTATCTTTCTGCTCCATTCTCTGTTTCACTCTGGTTGGTGGTCCTTACAGCCTTCCCGTGCACCCTGCCAAGAAGAGGAAACATTCAGAGTCTCCCCCAAATACTCTCAATGCCCAGATGCTCAATGGGATGATAAAGCAGGAGCCAGGAACTGGGTCTGTGCCTCTCAACCCTGACAGAGTACAGACGCCTCCCTGGCACCAGCAGGGGGCACTTTCACCAGGTATGTGGTCTTTGTCCTGACTCTCGCACAACAGTGTCAATATCAAGGGACTGCTTGGGCTCCAAAGGGGGAAAGTGCCACACAATGGATGCCTGGGAGGAGAAGTGCCAAGGAGGAGTTAATGGAATAGCAGCGTGTCTCGTGCGTGGCATCCTGGCTATCAAGTGGAATGGGGAAGGAGTGCCCAGATACTGATAAACATGCAGGTGGCCCAGGGGGAAATAGGATGGGGAGAATGGCAGGGCCTGTGCTGCACACAGACACTGGGGGAGGCACCTGGCAAAAAAAGACTGTGAACTCCATGTGGGATGTACAGCATCCCCTGGGGACAGCAGTGCAGGGTCATTCCTCCTTCCTTGCCACTGCTTCTGCTGCCAGTTGCCTGTGGAGAATATTCCTTGGAGAAAAGCAGGAAAAAAAGAATGATGGGATATGTTCCATGGTGAGTCATAAGAGAATGGGGTAAGAATCAATAGAAGAGACTTGGCAGCAGGTTGTAGGCATATTTAAACACTTTAATTCCCCGTTGCTGCAGGTCTGATTCAAGACAGTGACAGTTTGAATGGCTCCTACCTGGATCCCAACTACCAGTCTATAAAATGGCAGCCACATCAGCAGAATAAGTGGGCAACTCTGTATGATGCTAACTACAAGGAGCTGTGAGTAGAATTTTTTTTTCTATCCCTATGGACAAACACCCCTCTATCCTAGAAGAAAGAGAAGTGCTTTAACAAATTTTGTTTTATATTTGCTCAGGAGGGTATGGAATCATAGAATAGTAGAGTTGGAAGGGACCAAGAAGGTCATCAGGTCCAACCCCCTGCAGAATTCCAGGTTAAACCAACCAACCAAGGGCTGTCCAGCTGCCTCTATATTGCTCTAACTTAGTAACTTCCCCCTACAGGGATTGGAAGTTGGTTTATATAGTATGCAGGAACAGCCTAATTTTAGTAGTAGTGTAAACAGTTCGTTACTTACTAGGTGTTGTACAAAAAGGTATAAACTGAAAAGCAAAGGAAGAAATGAGGAAGTGGAAACAAAACTGAAACAATATTGCAGAAGAAGCAAGAGCATGGACTGGGGCATCCTGAATGGTTGTATTGACACTTTTGTCATAAAAGACAGTACTTCCACACTAGCTTCGCCGTCCCCCCCCCCCCGCCGCCGCCTTTATCCACACTACTTGCTCATATGATTCATTCTTAGAATTCAGACAGTGCTTCTCCTTAGTTACCATGTTCCCATTTTTTCCCTGAGAGTCAATTGTATTTTTGTAACGCCTTGCTTTTAGCCACTTTTATACATTCCGTCGCATGTGCTGCACAACCACATGAGGTCCAAACTGATGCAGTGCTATTGTCTCACCTGATTTGGAGGTTTGATATTTGATAGGTGCAGTGGTGGTGCATAACCAGGCCTCTCTCCATTAGCTGTCTACCCCTTCCTCACGACCTTTTGTAAAATGCTGCCTTTTTGCTAGGGAGTACCTGAAGTTGAATCTGTTGTGAGTCCTGCAAATATTTCAAGCCAATAAAGAGTTGAGATGGACAAAGGAGCTGTCAGTATCCTAATCTCACTTTTACCTTGTAACTTTAGAAGAGGGGTAGGTGACTTGTGACTTTCCAGATGTTTTGGCATGCACCCCCTCCCAACTGTACTTCATAAATGACTAGGTTGGCTAGGGCTGATAGGTGCCATAGGCTGAAACATCTGGAGGGCCAAGTTTCCCAGCCCTGCTGTGGAGGAACTTCCAGAGCCAAAGGATAGCAAATTTTGTGCAGTAAAGTGCTCCATCTCCTGTTCCTCTAGAGGAGCCAGAGCTGTGGTAGCATGGGATGCTTTTTACAGTGTGAGGGGAGGGGCAGATGGTTTCTCTGGCAGCAGGTGCTCAAGGAAGGAAGAAGGAGTGATGTTCCCGCAAAATAACTACCAATTCTTAAAGGGCAGTCCATAGTGTTCCTTATACAGCAAAGTAAATTAGTAACAAACAATGATAAGCAATGATTAGAAAAAATAGGCTTTGGGTATCAATCGATAAGTGGCTGTATATATGTTTTTAAAGTAGTTATATAACAATAAACATTTAGTAGAAAGAGGAGTACACCAAGTAAACAACCAGCAGGAAGGGAGAGCATAGGATGAACAAAAACTACCGGATGTTTAAGGGAAGCACTAAGAACCATAATTCTTGCTTCATGGATGATTCTGGAAAAAGCTGACTAAGTAATCAGATACCTTTTAATCTATTGGAGTAAATTTTGGTACAGTAAAAAATACAGGAAACACACCTTAGTAAAAACAATGCAAAATAGATTGAGGTTTAACAACAATAGGGCAATATGCAGTGGGCACTTATACCCAGCTGATTCTTGTGTGCAAGCACTGGATTCTGCCTGATTTCATTGCAGAATTCAGTGTCTGTGCTATAGAAACTTAATGATTCCTAGAGAACCCTCAAAACGAGCAGAAATGCTCATTTCTGGATTGGGATAAGGTTGATGATGTTCCCTTATGCAAGCTCCACTGACCTGCACTATTCCAAAAGTAGGAATGTGAATGTCCAGCTCAAATCTGACTATCTTGTTCTCAGCAGACATCTTTCTCATGATCATTCCTGGGCAGAAAAATGAATTGAGTTGACATCAAGTCTGCAAATGCTCAAGAATACCAATCGTCCCTTTCTTTGTACAAAGTCCACACTTTATGTTTGACAGGAGAACTCTGCTTGCACAGTGAGTGCGCAAGCAGTGTGTACGCAGGCTGGCCTCGTAGACCCACTTGTTTCTGGGCATCCATGTGAATGCTCAGCACAAGGCAGACTTAGGGCAGAGAGAAAGAGGGTCAGAGTCCCAGGAGTTGAGCTTTGGAAATCCTATGGAATTCCACCCCTAAACCAGATTCCTTGGATAGTGCTGTCCAGAAGTGAGCATTTTCACTTGTTTCCAATTGTGCCTGGAAGCAGTAATTCTCCATTCTGTAATTGGTGGGTATTGTTTGTAGAAGAGAATTGATGGAACACAAGAGAACTGGTGGTGGCATAAGCATCCTTTTGATAGTATTCCTGTGTGTGCATTTAATTTTTAAAAGAACATGAGCAAATTACCTAAACTCTTTCCCCGAGGAGGTTATAGACTAGTTCAAAATTGGTGTGTGGGGTAGAAGTGCTAGAGCAGGCAATGTCAAACAGAAGGGCAGATAAGGAGAGAAGTGTTGGAAAAGGAAGATTGTGATGGAACAGCAAGGAAAAGGAGAACAAAAAAGGGGGATTGCAGGAATAAGGATAATGGAAAGACTCAGAGGGCAAGTTTTTGGAAACCTTGGAGATGGAAGAAACTGAAATGAGCAAAAGGGAGAGAGGAACTTGAGCATTTTTTATTTGTTCTGTTTTTAATGGCTGTACGCTGACTTAGGAGATTGTCTGGACCAATAGCTGGTATGAAAATACTTTGCTGGATAAAAGAGCCTAGAAAGGACGCAGGGGAGGTGAAAAGTTGTGTTGATGCAAGGGAACAGTGGGAAAGTGGATGCATGGTTCACTGGGCAGCCAGCAGAAAAGCCAAGGAACTAAGGAGGAGTCTGGGTGGCTGGTTTTGGGTTAGCTGGGGCAGAGCAATGCTACAAGGAGCCACATAAGGTGAGACCAAGCAGCCGAGAGAAGCAAGTGAACATAGCTTGCAGGCTGAAAGAGACAAATGTTCAAGAAAAAAATGACTGCAGATCCTCCCCGCATTCCAAAAAGGTGATAGAAAACTGGCAAGCAGCCGGATGGATTCCGGGAATGGCCTACGCTCAGGAACGCTCCCTTCCCTTTGGTTTCAGTTCAGCTTGTATCTTCTATTTTGCCCCGTTTGGGAAGATAGGGAAAGACTTTAGCTGTCTGTGGTTCAAAACAAAATGAGATTATTATCCAGCTTTGTGAAAGCGTTGTGGAGAGAAAAGGCCAGTGATTAACACCAAAGCCAGCTGTGGCATCAGAGGCAGCATACCTTTGGATGGCCCAAGATGCCCACTCACTGCACGCTACCCAGGGCTGCCCTCTCAAGGTCTTGCTGAGGCTAATTTATCAGAGTCCCTTCAAGGTATACAATGGAAGCAGAAAATGACATGCCTTTACTGCTCCAACAAGGACTCCATCAGTATGGGAGAGTCCATTGAACAGCTTTCTGTATGCATATGAAAAACATTCCACAGCAACAGCTCTAATAAATATGATCAAGTTATACAAAATCTAGCTACTAGATAATCTAAGCCAGGAGAGAAAGGCTAGGAGAGAAAAATGAAAATTATTGCAGAGATTATAATTGTCATTCACTTATCATTTAGACTCTTAATTCATTTTGCCTTAACAGTTAGCCCAACTTTTAGCTGATACTTTTGAGCCTTCTCAGCCCGAAGTTAAGTAAAAAGTAGAAGGTTTCTTGCCCTTATTCTTTTCTTACAGGAAAAAAAAATATTTATAACTGCTTTGAGGAATGGGTAGGCCATCTGCTGCAGTTCACTGGAGTCCCATTGTAATTTGGGATACAGTGCCCTACAGTAACCATGTTAAATCATGCCAGTGTCATTCCTGGGGAAGAAGTCTGGCCCTGTTGGCTAAACATGTCATGATGTGGCCTCATTCCCATGAACGTTCTGTCCGGAATTTGAGAGAATGTGACCAGGCAATAGAAGGCAGCCTAGCTGAGGCTTGAAATAGCAGTGAAAGTTTGTTTTCTGTGAAATAAAGGAAAGGAGGCAGTAAGACTCTGTCAGCTCATCTTTAAAAGTAAGCCTGTCTCCTATCCAAACAGTCTGAGAATTCACTCACAGGCAGCCAAACATTGCCAATATCTGACCCCCCCCCCCCATGAAAGTGTGTGTGAGCCTTATCTCAAATATATCCTAACCATCCCTTCCCCCATGGGTGCAAGAAATTTTGCAGAACATTCTTCAGTGAAAGATCACTGTGGTTATTAGCTCCCTAAATCCACTGAAAATAAGTCATTCTCATAAACCAAAAAGAAATTTATTTTCTGAACACTTTTATTTTTCTCCTAACCTGTTTAGTTCGCCTAACAACCTGTTTTGAAGAAGATCTCATGCTGAATTTTGCCTTTATAAAATGGGTTATCCTGAAAAAATAGACTAAGGAAAGCAAAAGCTGTCTACGAGTATCAGAGGCAAATGGAAAACTTGCCTACAGATATGAACGCAGGCATTCTATTGGCATATCAAATATGTTAAGAGAATCCAGTGATCTGATGCTAGAAGCTTTTCAAAGATGTGGTAGTTTGAAATAAAGCAAATGTGTTAACAGTGGGCCCATATATCAGTGGCAGAGCAATATGTTCTGCACAGAAAAGGTTCAGGTGGCCCTGTCTGGTACTTCCAGTTCCAATTATGGGCAAGAGGGGCAGGAAGGACCCTTGTCTGAACATTCAAGTGTTGCTCTCTGTAAGAGTGGACAACACCAGATGAAATAGCCCAAAGTTCTGACTGATATTTTTGTCAACTCTGAACTGGGACAACAATCAGCAAGACAAACCTCTTTAAGTCCCAGGAGAATCTATTTATATCCAGTGAAATAAAAATAGTTACTAGTGGCCTGCTTACAAGTGATCTTACTCAGTTTGGCTTCCTTATTTTTCACATTCTGAAATGTTCATAATGACACTCAGGC